TGCCAAACAGTTTGTCAATTTCACCACGTGGTTGTAACGTAACATGACTGTAATAACTGGTTTCCATAAACTATCAAATTAGTTTCAACTTCATGACATACTAACTAGGCTAAATGTGAAGGATTGAAGCCATCTGTTTAAACTGGTATTAACCGCTATAAACTGTTCTTTATTTCACTTTCAAGTTAAGGCTTAGACAAGTTAGGAGTAAATAAGTGCTAAAGTTTATTAATATTTTATGTAGATTCTACAAACGGCTGGTTTTAGTATTGAACATCTTTGTATAAATTATGACAACTTTTCCAGCGATCCATAGTAAATTGTTATGTCTTCTTAAAGCTTTAGAAAAGAAACAGATTTTTTTTTTTTTAGTCCTTTCAAAAAGTTTCTACTCAACCTAGTTCTTAAACATCAAAACACGCGATGGTTTAGTTTAAGCTCTTCATTATACTTAGTTCTATGACACAAACAATCCTAAACAAACAGTTGTTTCATATAGGGTAAAAAAGATAAAATATTAAGTTGAATTGCTAGGTTAAAATAAACATTAACGTAAGTTAGACAATGAAGGTATTGATACTAGATGCTGGTGCAGTCTTTGTAAACTTTAAAGAGCTAGATGCAAGAAAATTACAGTAACTCATACAGACTAGAGAAAATTGTTAGCTAATGGACTGTATAGGTTTACCTAACGCGAAGATAAGATGGCAAATTTCAAACCTTCCAAAGCTACTAGTCAAGATAGGTAACAATATAAATAAGAGTATGAAAAATGGCGTTTCTTAATATGGTAGTAAAACCGATAGATATACGAAAAACAATAGTCAGCTATTCGAATACGCTCGAATTTTGGGTCTGTTTTGAAACTTATATTAAAAACAAATAGGTTTATAGGTTCTGCATCAAAGCGTAGTCCAAGTTAGTAATATGCAAAGAAAAATTTCAAGATGTCTGAAACATCAAATCTTCAGGTTCTCGTAATCATATAAATACCCGTCTTGTATGTTGAAAGCACCAGACGTACTACTGTTAATGTTGCTGACGAGCAGTCTTCCCCTCGAAGTATTCTAGCTTTGTATGGCGTCCTAAATATCCCTTCCTTTTAATTAATCAGTAAACCGTTACGTGCCTGAAAAGAGAAGTCTTGTGACGTATTGTATTCTGAGACCTGTTTACTTATTGATCACTTAACTCTCCACTCCTATCTGCCTACATACACAATGAATGTAAATATTAGTTTAAGACTATGCATTGACTGCGAAACTTGTTTTTTAAGACTATGCACTGACCGTGACAAGACTATAATGGACGAGAGACCTTGTGTATGACTATGCAGTGCCGTGACAATACTATAATGGACGAGAGACCTTGTGTATTACTATGCAGTGACCGTGACAATACTATAATGGACGAGAGACCTTGTGTATGGCTATGCAGTGACCGTGACAAGACCATAATGGACGAGAGACCTTGTGTATGACTATTCAGTGACCGTGACAAGACCATAATGGACGAGAGACCTTGTGTATGACTATGCAGTGACCGTGACAAGACCATAATGGACGAGAGACCTTGTGTATGACTATGCAGTGACCGTGACAATACTATAATGGACGAGAGACCTTGTGTATGACTATGCAGTGACCGTGACAATGCTCTAATGGACGAGAGACCTTGTGTATTACTATGCAGTGACCCTGACAAGACTATAATGGACGAGAGACCTTGTGTATGACTATGCAGTGACCGTGACAAGACCATAATGGACGAGAGACCTTGTGTATGACTATGCAGTGACCGT